TTGTTTGTTTTCTTGTTTAAACCAGCAGAGAATGCTGTCACATTTGAATTTTAGTGAGATTATCTTGTCTGCAAGGGAGAAGATGGCCTAGAGGTGAGCAATAAAAGTGATGGGAAGGGTAATTTGGAGGGGTGTTGCAATGGTCCAGGGCAGCAATAACAATGAGCAAGATTAATAAGATTACACTAGAAATGAAAAGACCAAGCTGAAAATGGATTTGAGAAGTTCAGTGGACATATAACATAGGGTTTGGTGATTAATTAGACATGCAGAGTATGTAAGAAATACGTACATATGCAAATACAGTGCTAATAAATTGAAGACCTTAAACTCAAGAAGATCTTTATATTGCCCAGTATTAAATGTCCCTAGCCAATTCATTTCCCAAAATTTTCTAGAGAATATGTATATTTTGTCTCCCTTCAAAACTTAACCATTCCCCCAGTCACATTTTCAGTTATAAACATGCATTTACATAGAAAAAATGCTCTCATACTCAATCAGCTTACCAAATCTAACAACCTATTAAAATCACATCTATGTATTCTAATTTTCTACTGCAATGTACATCCTCTCTCCCATCTCTATTGTGGGTGGGATTCAGTGGAGCTCATTCACTCATGACTATGCAAGAACTTAGCTTTTAAAATTATTTGTCTTCTCTTCATCATCATTTTTCCTCTCCTTCATATTATTTTACTGATATACAACATCTCTAATATTAAAAGAAAAAAACAACTTCACATTGTTTAGTAGCCACCTCCTCATTTTCTTATTTTCTTTGACAGCAAAACTTTCTAAATGAGTTGTCTCTACCAATTGACTACTTTTCTTTTCTCATTCTATATTTAAACAATTCCACTATCTTACTCACCTCATGTTGACTGCTATCAAAATTGTAAACAGTGACTTACACATTACCAAATCATATAATCACTTCTCAATCATTTTACTTATCCTGTATTTGAATGTTGTGCATTCTCTCCTCCTTGAAGCATCTTCCTTAGTTGTTCTTGGGAACCCAGCAATCACAAGGTTGTGTTTAACTTCTTTGAACCTGTTCTTTTAGTCTTGGGTGCTTCTCCTCTTTTCCTCAGCTCTGATTATTTTAGTGTTCTAAAACTCAGTCTTTGGATATGTTCTATTTTCCATACATATTTATTACATGAGTGATTCCATTCAATGTCATGCTTCTAACTTCTATTGACATACAGATGACTTTCAAAGTTCTATCTGCAGCCCAGACCTCTCCCTGACCTCCTGGATCTCATGTGCATATCCACTTAGATATTTAGTAAGTATTGCAAACTTTAAATATCCATAATTTAAAAACTACTTTCATCACATGCTTCCTTATCTCAGTTAAAAAGCATTCCATTCTTCCACTTGCTTTTGCCAAAAACATTGTTGCCTCCCATTCTATCATTCCCCATATGTAATATGTCAGTAAATTATGTCCACTTGACCTTTAAAAAAAAATAATGAAGCCAGAACTCACTTCAAGAGTCCAGGTTGCTTACAATATTAATGCCTATTACACATCTATTAATCTGAAGCAGTTGTAAATATAGCGTGGGCATTGGGTGATATTAAAAAATAATTGTTAAGTCAAGGAACATGTATAAAGGACCCATGGACAAAGACAATTGGGGGGAAGATCGAATGTGGGATGTGAGAGGGTGGGTGGTGCTGGGGAAAGCAATGGGGGGAAAACGGAGACAACTGTAATTGAACCAAAAAAATTAAAACAACAAAAAATAAAACAATTGTTAAATGTATTAGACATGAAAGCACTGTTTTGGCTAAGTGGGAATATGTCCTTTTTAGGTAGAGGACAATGCATACTGAATTGCTTAGGTCAAGAATGTGATGTCAATACAACATAAAGCAAATAAAAAAATAGAATGACCAGAAAATGCAGGATTTAACCACTGTTTATCATTTCACTACGACTATTAAGGTTCAAACCACCATCATCTCCCATCTGGATTTTTTTCACTAGCTTTCTGCCTAGTGTCCGTATTTTCTGTGTTTGCTCAACCTCCATCTCTTTACAACACAACATCACAATTCCACTACAACTACATTGGTTTCCTCACTGTATCTTAACAGCACACTCCCATATTAGTTATACTCAGGACTTTATCGCTGAGTCTCCTTTGCTGGTCTCTTTGTCTCCTTCTCCATATATTTGCATGAATATATCCTTCTTTTTATTTAGATCACTCAAAAATCACCTTCTCACTGGACCCTTTTTGGCTACCTTAACACATATTCGATGCTCTATACAATTGACATTTTGGTTTTCTACTTATTTTTGCTCTCTTTGCACATACTATTTAGCTGGCTGATGTTAATCATCATCTCTCTCCCACCAAAAGAAAAGTAGGGAACTCTGTATATTTTGTTTATAACTGTATACCTGGTACATTGTTAGGCACATAATAGATAGTCAATGAATAATTGTTCAGTAAGTGAATAAATGAGTAATTGAGTTCTTCACATCTTCCCCACCTCTAAAGCTCTCCAAAGTTTAGTACTTAGATCTTTCTTTTTACTTTCTTATAATTTTTCCTAAGTAAGCTCATCTATTTCTACAATGTTTAAGCCCATATATATGCTCATGAATTCTGTCTATATCTTTGTAAATGTCTCCTACTTTTGCCCGTTGCTCAAAACCCCAAATTTTTGTGTGTTTAAATGCTTACCTTCTGTATTCCACATCAACAAATTCTATAAGCTCAACTTTCAAAATAGATCCCTGAATATCTGAGACCTGCCTGTTTTCAGTTTCAAGCCTATTTGATGTCACCAATGGATATTTTCCCATTTACTACATTAGCCATTCACTCTTATCCCACAGCTGTGTCTCTATAGTTTATTCTCCTCACTGTGGTTGGAGTTATCTTTTTAAAATGTAGTCAGATATTATCACTGCCTAGATAATTGCTCTCCAGTGACTTCTTATTTTATCTAGAATAAAGTCATTATCTAAAAGGGCTTACATGACATGTTCTTTGGATACCTCTGTTTAAATTCTCTCCCTGTTCACTGTATTCCAGCCAACCTGGTCTCCTTGAGACCACTTACTAAAATTATATAAATAAACAGGCTCTGAGAAGTTGAAAAACTTTGTGCAAGTTCAACTAATTTTTAGTAGTAGAGCTGTAATTCCAACTATGTATTTTGCAGCCCCTCCGGGTGTAATATATAATTGGGTGCAGTTTGAAGATATTAATTGAATTGGAGAACACAAAAAAGTGTGTGCATTGCAGAGGTTAAAAATGGTCTGGTCCCAGAGAGTTGAGAGAAAACAGATTGATAAGTATAAGTATACTAGGTCTGCCCAGAAGATATCCAGCCATGTAATATGAAAAATATAGATATTTATTGAAGAGGATACAAGAAACATTGTACCTAGGACAATGATGCCTCAGTTACCTTCAAAGTAGGCACCTTGAGACCTCACACGGTTCTCCTAATCACCATTAGCTGCTCTGTCGTATTTTCCTGAATCTCACTGATGGTCTGAAATCTCTTCCCTTTCAAAGGTGATTTTAGTTTTGGGAAAAGACAGAAGTCATTGGGCACTAAAACTGGGCTATAGAGGGGCTGAGTCACCTGGGTGATTTGATATTTTGCCAAAAAACTACACAAGATGTGATGCATGAGCAGGTGCATTGTGGTAATGAAGCTGCCAATTACCAGTTGTCCATAGCTGCAGCCTTCTGAATCATCTGAATAATTTTGGTGGAAGAATGTTCAAACTTAACACCAAATTTGATGCAGACTTGTTGCTCTACTCGCTCAGCCTTTTTGGATGCGACAACAGCACAGTACACATGCTCACTTAATGACGTCTACTGCTCCTACTGACTAGTAGAGTGAAGGTGTCATTGTTTATGCATTCACATTCCAGCCCACTCTCCTTGGTTGCCAGGTTACATCGATGTCGCACAAACCATTCTCATGATATTAACAATGGTTGGACTTTTCTGAACAGACGTCCTATATGCAGTGGCTGGGATTTCACAACCAGAGCCCAGGAAGGTGTTGGTGATGAAAGAAATATGGAGACATGAGAGTCCACCACATACAAGAATAATTAAAACTAAGTATGGATAAGTTTGTCAAGGAAGAGGATAGAAGCAGAAAGAAAATTGAGTTAAGGCAATGCCTTGGGAAACCAGAATATAAATGACAATTTTTAAAAATGTATTACAAACATTTGAAAAATAATGTTTTACTTGCTTCTGGTCACAATGACAGGGATTTTAAAAGTAGGACATAGGACAGGTATCTTTATAAAAATCTATATATAAGTAAGTACAATTTTAAAAAGTCCTGCAAATAAGTTTGTTATGACCTCTAATAAGATGTGTCTCTTTATCACCGTCGTTTTCTTCTCCCCTTATTTCCCTTTATATTGAGGATCACTGACTTATAATGTAGGAGGGAGAATTGTATCAAAAATATTTTTTTCGAACTACACAGACAAGAGTGAACTAACAATATAACAGAAAATAATGGTAGTAGTGAAAGAGACACAACATAAAAATAAATGCATATTTAAATTAAAAGCTATCTCATAGATATTATTCTTATCACTGTACAGACAGTATAAACTACTGGCAAATGTGTATTTGATAGAATGCATTTTTTTAAAAAAAGAGTTTGTTTGAAGATTTTTTTAAATTACTGTTTTAAAAGATGAAACACTATTTCAATTATTTCTTAATCTTAAAAATACTGAAATAAATCAAATTAAAAACTGAAAATCTAATCCCCCCACTTCCATATGAATATCTAGATATCTCTTTCACCTCCAAAAAAAAAAAAAAGAAAGCCTTGCTCTTTTGTTAAACTTCCAACAAACTATTATGGATTAGAAAGAGCTTAGCCTGTAGAGGAAGGTATACTTAATTTTGAAGCCCATGTTTACCACATAGTTGCTAAGGTAATTAATTCCTCTGTGTCTGTATTTCCCTAATAAAACTTACCTCACAGTTTTATTGGGAAAACATATCCAGTAATAGGTATGCTACTGTGGAAAGCCTGCGAGTGACAGCCAGAATGGGCTGTTCACGACAATCTTCACTGTTGCGCTGTTGTCCTCATCATATTCACAGCTTCCATTCATTAAACATTTTAGTAAGATCCATCATGGTTCTGAATACTCTGCAGAGGTATTTTATGTATACTTTACAATTACTCTGTGTAAAATGCATTTACATTCCTATTTTATAAATAAACCGATGATTAGGGAGTTTAGTCAAATTGCCCGAGGTCACACAACAAATAATACTTTTAATAAATGCTTTTTCTACCACGTTTCTTAATATTAAAATTGTTTTTAAATTATGGTACTTGAAGTAATGCTTCAGTGTAATGTCAGAAAAAAACTTTAAGTCATAAAATCAATATATTTCAGGAATATTGCATATCTTTATAAAACTACCATTTTCTATATAGAAAATAAACTTTATTTCACTTCTCTGATTAAGGACACTTTCCGCTTTCTAATTTAAAAGTTAAAAGTTATCTTTATCACTTTTATATATTGTATCCCATATTTATATTTCAAACTTCACAATTATATATTTGTATAAAATTAGAAAATATATGTGATCATATCAAAATAAATATTTATGTAGCTCTAATCATTAAAAAGCATGCAATTTAATAGTAATGGTAGTTTTAATTTTTCAGCATTACCTTAGCTATTTTTACATAAAACAACTTCCAAGCAACACGGCCTTAAAATTCACAAGTTATTAAATCATACTTTTCAGTAGAGAATAATTATCTTCATAGTTTTTATTATGGTGCCTCTGTCTTGAACGTAAGTAAAATCCTGTAACTGACTTAGCTGCAATTAATAAGTCATTCGGAAGTCACATTCATCATTGTCACTAAAGAAGAGTCTGGAAGAAATTGCGTGAGCTGTATTTAGAATCTATGAGAACTGCAAAGTCCACTCTGTTCCTCCTTCTCACATTTCTCTCTCTAGGTAAGAGCCAGAAAGCTGTAGCAGAGATGCAGAGCAGGAAGTAAGGTTTGCTTACATAATCCTTATTCAGTTCCTCTCACAACAATTTTCTATGACTCAATAGCATGTTATGAATTATTATATGCTCTTTACAGATATTTGGCTATACCTCTTGTCTTATTCATGGACAATACTACCATCTGAATATTTTAATACTTATTGCACTCTTGTTTTTCTTTCTTTTCTTTTCCTTTTTTTTTTTTTTGTTTAAATTTCCACGGATTAAATTGATGGATCTCTGATCAGGGACTTTGTCAGTTCTCTTCACTGCTCTATCCATTGCCCATAGAGAAGTTCCTGGAGCACACTAGGTAATAAATTTCAATGAATGAATAAAAAACAGCTTCCTGAAAAAAAACTTTTCAGTATTTTATTATGGATTTTAAAAAATCAACAAAATACTGTATATCATATAATACATTTCCCAATAGAATGGCCTCATGGTCTCACAGAGGAAGAAGTTATCTTTAGTACTTAGTGGAAAAAAAACAAAAACAAAAAAAGTGCTTGTGTGAGGACATAAATGTTTCTGACTTGTAAAACAAAGTTCTGCCATAAAAGAGAAGTTAGGTATATTCTATGTGGGCAAAAAGCAGAGAACTGTTGGGCAAAATTTATATAAATATGATCAGTTAGCTTAGTATAAAAAATGTCTCTCAACCCCAGGCCTAAAATTCTAGTAGGGCTTGAATACAGGTCTGTTTTTATTAACTAGAGTCAGTAATAAGTATAAGTTGTCTGGGATTGGAATAACCTTGTCCAGAAAATGACACACACCCCATTATGGAACATGAACAAACAGAAGCTAGAATAGCTTTATGAATATTTCCTACAGAGAATAAAACACTGAACAGGAGATTACAGAACATACGACAAGAAAATTTTGTTTATTTGAAGAATATAATATTTATATTTGAGTAAAAAATTTGTTTATTTGAAGAACATAATATTTATCTTAAGTTTATTTGGAGAACATAATATTTATCTTTGAAATAAATAATAGAAAAACTAGGGAAAATATCCAGGAAAAAGTTAACTGAAACAATGTAAAAAATGGACATCTTTGATTATAAAATATTTACAACTACATGCTAATAAAATATGATGCTTTAGTGAATAATAACTGCAGGCTTAAGTAGGACATCATAAACATTTTCAATAATGAAAAATATAGGATATATTTTTTAATTTAATAATTATTAGTCAAGTAATTAACATAATAGAAGTATATATTGAGAAACAAGATGGTATATTATACGGTACGTAGCAAATATTAACTGTTATCTCTCTTTAATGTTAGTATAGATTTAATATTACCTGGATAAAGTGTTTTAATCAGTTAAATTATATAAAATTAATCCTTAAAATTAAATAAGATTGTTTTCTATGATAACCATATTAATGATTAGAAATGCAATGTGGCAGGGTGCTCACTTTGGCAATTTTACTAAGCATGGTTTGGGGCTTTATTTTGTACTGCAGTGAAACTTAAAATGTTTGTTGTGTTAACAGTTCCTTTCAAAACCATTGTCATTTTCCTATATGAACCTTAATATGACACATTTGTTTCACCTTACTTTCCCTAGAAACAGTGTTTTGTAAATATAAAAATAAAATAAAACATACATAGATATTGTTAAAATTTTAGTTTGCAATGTATTCATCATATTACCTAAATCTTTTCTTTGAAAATTAGAGATATCTCTATGTATATATTTACAATAAAATGTCACTGTGTTAAACTGCAAACAGTGCAATGGTCTTCTCACTTCAGCAAGCTCCCTAGTAGGCAAAACATTTACAGAGCATCGATTATTGAGCACTGACTGGGCCAGCTTACATGGATAAAAACAGGCACACTCTCTGCTCTCATGGAATTTTCCACTTAAGTGGAGGTGATTAGTCCATTATAGGGGCTTCCAGTAAATAGTGTTATAAAGGAAATAACTTTGAATTCAAGAATTATCTGATAAGCTCAAATTACCCATTTAAGGACAAAAATTACAATATGTTAAGGTTGTGTAAATTTTTTAGAGCATTTGATTTCCCAAACCCCTTGTAATATTCATGTTGCCTTAAAATCTAGATTTTTTAAGATTCTTATGTGTTACGACAAAACTAAATTTCCATAATCTTTCCTTGGAACTTCCTACGTTTATTCTTGAAAGGGCTTGTCATCAGCTTTATTGCACAGACTAGAACAAACTGACGTGAAGAAGAACAAAACTGATAGCATTTGGAGGACTTGTAAAAACCACTAATTTGTTTCAAGTTTAGGGTTATTATCTTATCCCTAGTCACTGTTGTCTGCCCTCTTATTAAAATAAGTGTTCTAGTGTCATTATGTGGGAGTACAGTTGAACTTTCTACAAAACTTTAGGCTACAGCTCCTCTGAGATTCATGCGATTCCATCCCAATGATACCAGTTGGTCTGCTGACACTATGAAACAATTAGATACAAACAAAATAATAGCAGTAGTTCTTCTGTCACTAGTAAACAAGACAGAAATTAAGTAAGATATCTGGATGCATTTGATAAGCTAATAAAGAACAGATGCAAAAATAAAATGAGGAAAAGAGGAGGATATAAAAGGAATTGTATATATAATTATATATAAAATATAATAGAACACATTAGATATAAAGTAATTTATATCTAATATTATATATATTATATAGTATATATAGATTTCATATATATACTATATAATACTTTGCTAATATAATATACATACTTTGCTAATATATATAATATATTGATATGTATACTATATATCAATATATAATTTATAAATATAAGTAAAATATACTATTTATATAATACTATATGAATACTATATATTAAAGGAATCCTATATTACATTATATTCTATCATAATATATACTATATATTATACATTATTACATTATTTATCATATATCATTTATAAAAGAATTATATATATGTATATAGGAAGGAAGGAAGGAAGGAAGGAAGGAAAGTTTCCTGCTTCTCTCTAGATCAATCTAGTACTCAGCCCGTTCATTTTCTGGAGAGCTAGAAAAAGCTAAACTTTGCCTAGTGTTCCTCTTTAGTTCTCCTGCTAATTAAGGAAACACTTCTGCCCAAAAAAATCAGAGGAAAGAAGCAATAATCTTCCGGACCATCAAAGCTTTGTTTGCTCAGCATACATACCAACAGCATAGAAAAGATCTTTGATATCTTTTGGCTGGCATTATCCTTGGAACTGATGAACAAATGAAGTTGTACAATGCAATCTAACTGCTAGATGTGTGCACTGGAAATCAGTTTGTTTGCATGACTCCATACAGGTACTTTCGTGAAGTATTCAAGAAAGTTGGTTAAGTGGAAAACCTCTTTTAAATACTAACGAAGACTTAGCCCTCGCAGGTGTGGCTCAGTGGACTGAGCGCCGGCCTACTAATCAAAGGGTCACTGGTTCAATTCACAGTGTAGGGCATGTGCCTGGGTTGCAGGTCAGGTCCCCAGCAGGGGTGGTGCGAAAATGCAACCAGAAATTGAAATTGATGTTTCTCTTCCTCTCATCCCCTCTCTAAAAATAAATAAATGAAATCTTAAAAAAGAATACTAACGAAGATTTAAATAATCTCATAAAAGATAGACAATGCATTTTAAAGTAGACATTTGATTTCTAGTTATAAATTTAGAAGAAAAAAAATCACATCTCAGCAAAGGTAATAATATGTTGGAAGATTTAGATTTGGATTAAAAGGTAAATCATCTTTGTGTGTAGGTCATTTTTCACTACTTTTTTCCCCTTAAATATGATTGAATTTATAACACTGCCTGACAGCCTGTGTCATGTTCTTTGTTAGATGTTTGTAATAAAAATCTTTTAAAAGTGATTAGACAAGGCTCCTAACACCAGAATTTTCACTTTATATGTTGTATTTAGCTTTATTTTTAAATAATTTTTAGACCAATGTTTCTTCCTACTTTACCAAGCATCTACTTTCATAGCACATATCTAACTGTATTATAATGTAATTGGCCTTTGCTTATTGCTAGTGCTGAAATCTCATCCCATATTATGCAGATCTCAAGTTACTACAGTTGCTAATTTCTTTTAAAGTTGGAAGGTGATGTACTAAATATACCTCATTTTTCTAATAGTACTTTTAAAACTGAAATGTAATTTGTTTCTTTTTATTAGTGTTTGGTGAAAATAAATCCCCCTCTCTCTTTTTTGTCTCTCTTAGAAAGTTTGGCTCATTGATGTATTTTACTTTTTTAAAAAATCTGGTAACAAAAATCACAGTTTATTTATTTCCTTTTGGATTCCTTTTCATTCCCCTCCTTTCCCTTTTCTCTCCTTCCTTTCTCTTCCCCTCTATTCCTTCTCTCAAAAAAATCTATAATCCAGTTTCTCTGTGAAGATAGTGAGAATATATCCCAATCCACTCCTTAAGAATTATAAGATAATTAAAAAATAATAATCAAATTGAACATAGACTCTACTTATATCTTATATTTATATTCAAGAAGTCATTGTTAGACAATTTATGAATCATTGCAAACTTCCCTACTGCAGTAATACAATCCTACACCTCAGGTGCCGCGATTCCTGACTAGAAAATTCCTGTTGAAGTGAGGAAGAAACTTAACAAACTAAAGAATCTAGGGAATAGTTCTTCAGTAATTACTGTCCTCATTTCTATAGTTTGCAAAGGAAATGTCAGGAAATAGGAGGAAGCAAGTAACAAAAATAAAGTAGATTTAGACATTTGCATTAAACATAATCTAAACTGTAAGTAATCCACTTATAAAGAATACTCTATGCACAACTACATTATTACACACTCCAAGTTGCTTTAGTAACTGCTAATTTTGTCTT